CCTTGCTGGTCAGTGTAGCTAGGCATAAGAAGCGAACCAAATCATTGTGTGATTTTTTTCTTGGACGGTTTGTTTTCCTTCCAGTCCTAACTTACTTCTTTGTTCTCTATTCTCCTTTGATGACGGAGATTCTTGCTACGTAAAGCGCGGCTACAACCACTTCTTTTTGCATTTCTCCCCTCTTCCCATAACGTCTACTTAGCTAACCCCACTATCCATACAATAGTAAATTAACCAAAACTGTCCACTTGTGGTTCCCCCTTGAAGGTGGGGCTGGTGGGAGGAGGGGAGCACAGGGGTGACGAGGGCAGGGGCCCCAGGACCCGGGACCATCCTCCTGGGGAAGGTGGGACCAGCCGGTCACTGCTCATTGCCCGGTAGGAGCAGGCCCTTCGCGGCCCTGGCTGACCCAGATCCACCATGTCTTACTCTAGGGGTGATGGGGTGATGGGGGGGCATGGCTACCCAGATCGGCCATGTCTTACTCTAGGGGTGATGGGGTGATGGGGGGGCATGGCTACCCAGATCGGCCATGTCTTACTCTAGAGGTGATGGGGGGGACATGGCTGACCCAGATCCACCATGTCTTACTCTAGGGGTGATGGGGTGATGGGGGGGCATGGCTACCCAGATCGGCCATGTCTTACTCTAGAGGTGATGGGGGGGACATGGCTGACACAGATCCACCATGTCTTACTCTAGGGGTGATGGGGGGCATGGCGGACACAGATCTGACCATGTCTTACTCTAGGGGTGATGGGGGGGTGCCTCCTTTTTAATCCAATAAGGTCAGACCACAGGGCGTCAGAAGGGCGATAAGCAGGCAATATCTAACCTCGACGCTATGGACAGTAAAGACTGCTACTGCTACAGCATTTTATAGCGTAGACAATCGTCCATTCAAACCCTGCTGCAACTCCAGAAATCTGGAACTTGGCCTCATTTTGCAGATGAGAAGACTGAAACTCCTAGAGTTTACAGTGACTTTCCTAAGGCCAACCAGTGGCAGCTATGATTTAAACTTGGTCCTCTGACTTGGAGGACCGTTCAATTTTTCCCTTATTCCCTTTCTGTTAAAGGTAATTCGGGGAATGCTTTAGAGCAGGGGTGGGCAACCCCTGGCACGCGTGCCAAACATGGCACGCCAGTAACTTTTGCTGGCACGCAAAACCCTCTCTTATCTTCCATTTACAATTTTTGTGAACATTTGAATGACTTAAATATTAAATTACAAGGAACTGGCAAGACACTTGATGTTATGTTTGGTTACATAAAGGCTTTTGAAAAGAAGACTGGAAGTCTTTAAGAGGGATGTGGATGGTGAGAGATTTAGATATTTCCAAACCTCAAGAGGCACATCAAAGACCTCCCAAAAGATGACAGAATAGACTGTCAAAGCCTTAAAAAGCTGTTTTTAAACATCATCGAGTCATCTATTGAGCAGTTCTTCTCAAGATTTGTGAAATTCAGAGAACTAGAAGAGACAGCAAAATTCATGAGGTTTCCAGACAGCATGAAACTGGAGGAACTAAACTTACAAATGTTTTCATGGATAGACATGGCTGACTTTGAAATGCAGTTGATTAAATTTCAGATTAGCTCAATTTGGAAGCAGAAATTTGTTGACCTTAGAGTTAACTTGGAAAACATTGAAAAAAGTGATTAGAGACAGGAGTACCAGAGAGAAGTGTCAAAAACGAACTATTGAGGACTTGGAATGCCATTCCAGAAAATTTTTTCTGTTTAAAAAACTTTGCAACATCATTACTCTCCATGTTTTCATCCACATAAACTTGTGAATCTTTGTTCTCAGTGATGAATTTTGTTAAGTCTCATAATAGGAGTAGCCTGACGGATGAAAGTAGTAGCTCGTGCATATCTCTGAAGGTCACGAAATATAAACCTGATGTAAAACCTCTGTCATCAGTGATGCAGCAGCAAAAGTCCCACTGATAATATCAAACAGAGTCATAAAGTTTTCTGTCGGACTATCAGTGAACATGTATACATTAAAAATTAAATGTATTTTTCATCATCATATACTGTATTTTTGTCGCTCAAATGAATTTTATTATTTCTTCAAGGTTCTTCACATACATACCTTAAGAGATATCAAGTATGCGTAACATGTTCTCAAAAAATTAGGGTTGGCACACAGAAGAATTTTGAGTCAGAGATTTTGCTGATTTTGGCACGCACTCACAAAAAGGTTGCCCACCCCTGCTTTAGAGCATTTTTATACTGTTCCTCCCACTAGTTCTGTGCACACAATTATGTCCATCTCATTTGCTCATTCCACAATGACTGGAGAGTATCAGGATATATTTCACACTCATTATTTAATATTTACTAAGTGCAAGATATAGTACTTTATACAGATTTTTGATAAGTTGACATAAATACTGATCCTATTAGAAGTGGAGCTTGTAATCTAAGCAGGAAAATTACGTATGTGCACACAGAACTGTGATAGGACGCGGAGTGGGTGTTGTCAGAAGGGTGCTGATGGTGTACTGTGGGAGGTTAGAAGTGACACAAACCGAAGGTCTGAAGGAGGAGAGACATGGGACCTGCGCCTTGAGGATGCCAGATTTGGACTCTTACAAATGAGGAATGTATTCTAAGTGGATACAGTGAAACCGGAGGCAAGAAACAATAGGGGCAGCAGCGGACACATTCATTTTATTGGAGCATGTAAGGGGAGAAGACTTGATGGGTACCACGTGTCAAGGGACTGATTTATGGCTTGCCCCTTCAACCAAGATCAAGTATCCTATATACTAAA